CAACAAATATCCTAATCTTTGCCACCCCCATCTCTGTGTCCTATTTCATCCTGCTTCCATAGATACCAGTACACTGCTGGTTCCAGTCCAAAGAACTCTGACTGTTACCACATCTGAGTAAAGTTATTTGGCTGGACGTTATGCTGATTGATTCTCAGGAGTTTCTGACCTGTGGACACACAGTACCAAGTGCACTGTCTGGGCTCATCAAATTTCCTCCTTTTGTTAATGCTACTGTCCCTGAGCATCTCCATTCAGACCATATGGTTCTTATTCGAGCCTTGAATGGCTTGTTCAGGCAGCCTTCCAATGGCTGTAATAGCGATGTCAGACCCCCCAGGACTCACGCAAAGATCAGTTTTTAATTTTTTGGCCATATTTCTTACTCCATCTGTTAAATGTGCATGGAACAGATCCCATACTTGCATGGAACATTTGTGGAACTGCGCCCCCGGGCATACATCCCGTATCTTTTGCAGCCAGAGCTGGACGAGATCATCGTCCATCCAACCCTCTGAATGTGTCTGTGCTATCACTCCAGCAATATTTCTCCCACTTTTTTAAAGTAAAGATTTATTCTGAACTATAAGCAGCTTTAGTTTTATCCTGTTGGCTAGACAGGCTAAGTTCTTTCATGTTTTGTCTGATGAGGGTTGTTCTGTAGCTCAGGGGGCTAGGATCAGAGGTCATGAGAGTTCCACTCATGTTTCTTAGATATGGTACATAGACATTGGTACTCTGAGTTTTCAGAAACCTATTATTTTTAGTTCTAGGTTCATTAGAAGACCTCAGACTATGGAAATATTTGGTCTATGGAAATCATTTTGCAAGATAAATCATACTACCATCAGCAAAAATTAGTTTCAAATAAAAGTAATGGGAAGCACTGCTAATTCCCCCACTTTTCAAAACGGGCTATTAAATACAAAAAGATCAAATCAGGTGCCCATCACATAGTCTGATCTATGATATAAATCTAGTCTTGTATCCATGTGAATATCTCCCTATGAAAATAAGAACTATTATAGCGATGCTCCAAAACGGGGCATACTGGGTGTGGGGGAGACAGACATACAGACTTGCAGGAGTCAGTTGTTAAATTTTTGCTATCACTATTTACACCCCAGAATTCAACCAACTACAGATCAGGGCTCCATTTATTGTTTTGTTGATTGTCTAGACTTAAGAAAGTGATGGAGAAAATGTTAATAATGCAGGTTATGCTTTAAAATATGTTCTGCATGGTTTTCTCCCCCCATAGAGCTTGTTGTCAAAATATACTCCTTGGTACAGTATACTCCTTGGTACAGATATGGGTTGGAATATCTGCATTAGAGTATTATCTCTAATACTCTGTCCGTTTCACTCATACAGTTTCATATCACACATATCACACGTGAGGACATAAAATTCCCTTTCCTCTCTGCAAATTATATCCCCTGAAATTTAAAAGCAAAATCACAAGAAACATGTTGACATAAATGCCAACTATTTCTTAGTCTGTATTTCTAAGGAGTGACCAAACTGACCCAGAATTATTTCTGCCTGTGGTGGTTCCAACTAAAGCAAAAACTTTTAATCCTGGTTGGATTTGATAGCCCCAAACTGACACATACTGAGAAAACTCTGTCTCTGACAGCAGCAGGAACATTTTCAAGAAGAATAACTGAATAAAGACATTAGAAAACAGCAATCCACACAAAAGATAATAATAACAAATTAATAATAATAATTAGCATTTATATGTAGTACCTCCAGGTTTACAAAGAACTTTACAAAAATTATGTTATTTTACCTTTTTTCCTTATAACAATCCTGAGAGGTAGGTGCTAATTATCCCCATTTTACAGAGGAAGAAACTGAAGCAAGGGCAAAGTGACTAGTCCAGAGTAACACAGCTAGTAAATGTCTGAGGCCAGACTTGAAGTCAAGTCTCTCCTGGTCCAGTGCTCTATCCACTGTACCACTTGGCTGTTCCTCAGTGATAAATTCAATTAGTAAAGATGCAGCAATACATCATCTGAACATAATGTCTGAAGGCTCTGTTTGCTTTTACGGTCTAGCTACATGCTGATTGGATGTTCTTTGAAAGACTTCAAAGTCTGAAAGCAACATATTGAGGACCACTTTCTAGCTGTTCAATTGTCTTCCAGTCATGTCTGACTCTTCATGACCCTTTTTGGGGTTTTCCTGGCAAAGATACTGGAGTGGTTTTCCATTTCTTTCTCCGGCTCAATTACAGATAAGGAAACTGAGGCAAACAGGGCTAAGACTTGCCCAAAGTCACACGGCTTAGTAAGTGTCTGAGGCCATATCTGAACTCAGGAAGAGAAGCCTTCCAGACACAAGGCCCACTGCACCATCGAGCAGCCTTCTACCTTCTAGAGCTCTGTCCTTTTTCCTTCCAAAGGTATTTTTATTAAGACTTTTGCTAGTTCCATCTCTAACTCTTTCTTTCCCTTAATCTCTCTGCTAGAACCTTCAAGATTTGTTTTTGTAAAAGATTTTTTTGATATTGGTTTTATAATACTCTCATGCTGTGACTACTGATGGACCCTTGGTGAGAACCCTTTTGTACAGCTAGCTATAATGAGAATCAGAATCTTTAGAAATCAAATTTATTACTATTTTCTACCTCATGTTCCCTTTTCCCCGAGATTTACATCCCATTCTTACTCCATGTCAATTACTACCCTTCTCTCTACCAGCTAACCTAAACAAATTTAAAATTCATTCGAGAACAATTCACTGAGCACCTACTATGTGCAAGGCCTTGTAGCAGGTAGGTGCTTTTCAATATTTCTGGCCCTAGCAGCTCCCTATGCCCTCCAGATTCAGGTTTCTCTCCTATTCAAAATGTAAACCTCCTTGAGGGAAAGGACTGTTATCTTTTCCCTTTTCTTTGTCTCCCTAGCAATTAACATTCTGTTTGGTATATAAGAGAAACTTAACAAATTCTTGTTAACTTGTCTTTATCCTCACATATAAACCTCCGTTTGGCATTTAAAACTCTTCAGAACCTGGCCTCTTCTTACTTCTCCAGTCTTCTTAATACTTTGCTCCCTTCCACAAATTCTACCAGCTAGACACATTGGCCTATATGCTGTTTGCTTTATCTTCCATCCCTTTGCCTTTGCAATGAAAGCAAACATTTGTCCCTCAAGTCTCAAATGCTCTCCCTCCCCACCTCTGCCTCTTTGTTTAACTGGCTTCCTTCAGCTTCAAATCCCACCTTCTGCAGAAGTCTTTTCCTGGTCCCTGCAGCTGCTAGAATCTTCCCTTCTATGATTCTCTTCCTTCTGTCATAGAGCATGCATTTTGTATGCATCCATTTATTTATTTATTTCCATTAAAATGCAGGCTTCTTAAAGACAGAGATTGGTTTTGCCTTTCTTTGTGTCCTTATTACTTAGCACAGTGCCTGGCACATAGTAGATAATAAATGCTTGCTGATGGAAAAATGTGGGCTCTACAACTATACCACACCTTCTGTTTCTCACACACACACACACACACACACACACACACACACACATACTCTCTCTCTCTCTCTCTCTCTCTCTCACACACACACACACACACACACACACACACACACACACACACACATATACACAGTGTCTTGCCATTGCTAATAATGATAAAGCATAAAATAGAGATGACGCCATTATGTTTTAAACCTGTGATGAGCTGAATGGCCACTGATGATCGCTCATTTCTCCAGAAGGTACTTAGAGAAATTGATTATTTAAATCCAAAGCAGAAGGAGCTAGTAGGTCTAATGAAGGCATTAGAGGTGATGGCATATATAGTCTACTAGAAACTATGAATGTAAGTAATTAACAATTAATGGCAAATGAAGCTGTTGCTACAGCTTCCTTTATGGTTATACGATTCTCCTTACTACAGATTGATGTAAATTGCTACTTGTCGTTGACAAGGGTTGTTAGATCCAAAATAAACCTAGACTGTTGTTTTAAGAGTGAGATTCCTAATATTTTCTACTACTCTAGTGGAAAAAAAAACTATGAATTTTTGGTAGCATGTGAAGGTCTCCATATTTTTATTGGCTAACTACAAGTTCTCAAAAAAAGGATCTTTTATCCTTTAAAAAATGACCCCATCAATTCATGTATTTAGCATAGTTTACCAATATTTCCAAACTCAGCATGGAAAAGCCATCAACATGGTACTAGGTCATGGGTCCTGAATGAAGCCGTCAGCAAGGATTAATAAACTGTGACAGCTGCCCAAAAGCTTTCATTCTCTGTATTTTAACATCAGACGGTAAGTTGAAGTGCAGTGTAATCTTTGTTGAAACCAGCCCAGCAAACATGGCAGGAGTCACAACTGAGAACAGATGACAGTAGTAATTGTTCATATAAATTTAGTCTGCAGCAGTAAATTCTAGAGACGGATATAGGGGATGCAGCATTTACAAAGGCAGCAATTCCCACAGTAATCAGGAAGGATAAGCTATTGCTCATCGGTGTAAACCAATCCTTTGAAACTGGACACATAGAACTAAAGTAATTTCAGATCCTATGCCTAGGTATCTTGCGGCTTTTAAAACTGCAACTATTATCAAAATCTCTTTCTGGTAACATGAATTTCCTGGAATTTTTAAAGTAAAAGAATTAGAGATTATATTACTAAATAATTTTTAAAAGGTTATTATTTTTAAATAGATATAATTCATACTCATGCTTTCAGACAGCTATATTTTTAAAGGGAAACAGAAACAAGTAATCACTATAATTCTACAAATGATGCTTTAAAAAAATAGGTACTAAAATATGACCCATATATAAACTGACAAGAATAGGAACACATGCATTTGTGCAAAATAATAATAATAATAATAATAATATAATATTATGAACAATAACAACAATAATCAGTGAACGCTGTTGCTTAATGGATTCATGGTCTGCACTCAATAACTTTACCTTTTGCTTCTAATTCACCCCAATAGTATAAGTGGCAGTCATTTGACTTACCCCTTTTTCAATGCTCCCAGTTTGGCACAGAGTACCCTCTGCAGCCGGAATACTGTTGGTAACACAGCGATTACTTTTGCTGAGGCACCAGAGCTCTCTACACACTTCCTAGGAAAGAAGGCAAAAGCAAGTTGATCAGAATTACATACTAAAATTGTTTCCAGTCCTTCACATTAAGCACAGGCACAGATACATTCAAAATTTGTTCTGGAAAAAACACACACACAATAGGAACAGGCAGGCTTTTAATGTGTGAATTTAAAGGAAGTTGGAAAATTGGAAAATATTTTGGAGTCATTTCAAAGCCAATATAAGTGTAAGAACATTCTGAAGAGAATCTGGCAGTATTGATTAGTTTGCCAGAATGGGTCTTCCACCAATGCATGGACACATTCTGAGAAGTGAGGGCTCCTTCTCTGTGCCATCATTGTGACTGACATCTTTTAAGTATTTTTTGGAGCTATCTCTTCCTCTTTATCATGACATCAAAAGTTTATAATACTTCTGAAATAGGAAATGTAAAATATTTCATTTTGTTCAAACTATATTAATCCATCATGTTCTAAAATATGCTATTTAAAGGAATTACCAAGTAAATTGAATGAAAGGAAGGAAAAATCTTAGACACTGAGGAAGATATTAATATTTTCAAAGGTTGTTTTTGTTTATATAAATGATTATGGGGTTTGCATCCCTATTTCATCAACATTTCTACTTTTTAAAACATCTATGTTAATACAGTCAATCACAATGTGGTATTATAATGTAATGGTTGTGTAATATAACATTTTGTTGTGTTACTTTGCTAATGCAAAGATATGTGACTGGTTCAACATTTAAATGCTTATTAAACCATAAACTCCAAGAGGGCAACAATCTCTCTTATCTAAATTAGGTATCTAAATCTAAATCTTCCAGAGACTACCTAGTGCTATGCACACTACTCATGTTTAATAAGTACATTTTAATTGAATGTTATATTTTTATTATACTTATATCTGTAATTTTGATTGGAACAATATCAGAAAAAAACCTTTTCACGAACTTCACATAAACAAAATTTATAAAATTCATGAAGTACAATACAAACATAGCAAGGTCATTAATTAAATTTCCCTTTTGGAAGAGCATTTCTAGGGTGCAGAAAATTAAAGCAATTACTCTAGACTCTATTTAGAGAGGGAAAGGAAGAGGGAACAGAGGAAAGGAGAGAATCAGTAGTTGTTGATTAATAGTTTGTTAAAATATAATTTGCATTAACACCTACCAGTCCTTTCCCCTTTCCCTCTCACTGTCTCTTAGACTTCTTTTCATCCTTTTTGATACCTCCTAACTGACACCCTATCTACTGACTTGACTTGCAAGTTTCTGATGTTTGTATTCTAGGTTTTCTTAAGGCTTCCCTTGATGTTTATTTTAACTAGATTTCATCTGTAAAAAAAAAAAAAGTAAGGTGGATTGTAGCTTGCCTTTGGCCTCACATCCCCTTAGTTTTAACCCTGCCACTGAAAAATGTGATTGATTCTCCCTGTAAAGATATCACAGGGTTCCTGAATATGCCAAGGACTTAAGAAGACTCAGTCAAGATGGCTTTTAGATTAACCTTAGAACAACAATGAGGCAATCAGAATGATTTCCTTTTACTCTAGGAGAGAGTTCACATTTAGAAAAAGGAAAATTTCCTTATATTCCATCAAAATCTTCAGAAATTTAATCTTAACACCTTACCATCCTCAAATTCCAGGATATTAAAAAGTTCACTTTCTCCCCCAGCCTCAGCTTCTGATTTAGAATATTTATTCCCACCACTTCATAACTCAGTTTTTGTATATGAAAGAGTTCCCTGGAATGTGAAGGCATTGTGATGATTTCATATTCATACAAGTCCAGAACCAAATCATTCACATCAGGCCCTAGGCATCAGAAAGTAGCTCCAGGAGAAGCTAGAAGCAGAAAAACATATTAATGAAAATGGCCACAAAGGTCCTGGAGCTGTCATTCCCCTTGCCAACAGAAAAACGGATTTTGCTAAGTTGACAGACACATGGCCCTGATCACATGATCGCATCTTGAAGAAACAAAGACGGTAGAAAATGGAACCTTAAACAAGGCTGGTACAAACTAGCAAGGCCTCAGGCTAGGTACACACACAAAGCAGTAAAAGCCCTGTCTTTCAAAAGCCCTCCAGTAAAGAAACCACTCTCCAAAAGAACTCTAAGTCTACAAGCAGCAAGATCCAGGAGATGCTTTCCACGAAGATGGACCTTCAAAAAATGTACTTCCAGTTGAAAAAGGTATCAAGACTTTCCGATCCTGCTAACTCTTGGCAGATTAAAGTATCTTTTAGTAGAGCATTAAGCTCTATTTTTTAAAAAAAACTGTTTATAAGTAGAGGTCTGAAGGTCTGTATATCAGAAAATATCTCTTGGGATAAAAAATATGGAACTAAGAAGGATTTGTAGAACTTTAAAGTAAAGCTAAATATTGGCCTCTCCATCTAGACAAAATGCAGATGCCATCTAAGTGTTGTAGTACAGAGTGCTGGGCCAGGAGTCAGGAAGTCCTGAGTTCAAATTTGGCCCGAAACATTATTGGTGTGATCCTGAGTAAATCTATCTGCTTCAGTTACTTCATTTGTAAAAATGGGGATAATAATAGTAGTCCTTCTCAGGGTTGTTGTGAAGATAAAATGAATTCATATATAACATCTTTAATATGGAAATTCAACATCTAAACAATACCACAGTGGTTTCAGGATTATATGACTGAAAATGAGTTCTTTAGCTTCATCAGAAAGTCTTTACTTTTATATTTGTGATGATTTGGTTGACCAAAGAAACCCAAAACCACATAGGCTTCCTTTCTTTTAACAGATGGCAAATTACAAAAGCACATAGTTGTTGTATATATTATCCACCCTGACCACTCTTTCCATGGTGTCTTACTTAATAGTTTTGAGGGAGTTCACTTTTTTATGGTTGGTCTGGGGGAAGAGGGTTGTCCTTAGAGCCAGCCAGAAAGACTCTATGGGGGACAAAGACCTGAGAAACTATAGTTCATTTTCGGACTACTGTAGCATCACTGCAGGTGCTATTATACTCTGTCATTCCTATTTGTTTTCCCATTTCCCAAAGCTCAAACAGGAAGAGGCAGACCCAACCTTTCCTCATAACAACCTTCTTGAAACTAGAATTGATAACTTCTTTTTTTGTGGGTCAAGAGGGCAACTAAGTGGCATAGTGGGTAAAGCACCAGGCCTAGAGCCAGGAAGACTCATCCTCCCGAGTTCAAATCTGTCCTCAGACACTTATGAGCTTTGTGACCCTGGTCAAGTCACCCAACTCCACTTGCCTCAGTTTCTTCATCTGTCAAACAAGTTGGAGAAAGAAATGGCAAACCACTCCAGTATCTTTGCCAAGAAAACCCCAAACAGGGTCATGAACAGTCAAACACAACTGAAATAACTGGACAACAAAACTGTGGGTCAGAGAGTCATGAAAAGAAGCAATGTGAAATCAGTTTAGAAAGATACATGGGAACCATATTGTGAACATGCCCACCGGTGTTTGATTTTTATCCTAGAAAGGATTGAGAACATCTTTGTGAACAGAGAAGTGGAAGGCAAAGTCAGATCTGTGTTTTAGGAATAACTTGGCAGCTGTGTGGAGGATAGCTTGGAGAGGAGGAAGCCTGGAGGGAGGTAAACTAATTAGATGCTTCCTGCCATAGTCCAGGCAAGAGATGATGAAGGGCTCAGGTAGTTGTGGCTTGGGTGGAAAGATGGGAGTAGATGTGGGCGACTTTGTGAAGGTAGAATCAGTAATACTTGGCTACTGCTGGGCCGTGGGGGCTAAGGAAGCCTAAGGAGATGGAGAGGATTCCAAGATTGTGAATACAGGTGATAGGAAGGTGGTGGTGCCAGTGAGGAAAAGAGGAGGAATGTAGAGTGGAGGGGGTGGAATTAATAACTTCTAAGGGGCCCAAGTGATGACTTGTTAGCAAGACCATAGCATCTATTATTAACAAGTCTAAGCCTCTGCTTTCAAAAATCACTTAATAAGGACTAGCTATGGGTCATTACAATCTTCAGGCTTTTTATTCCATCACCAAATACATTTTTCTGGATATACTTGACACTGTGATGGGCATTCAACAGATCAAGTGAGCAAATCTTTGCAGAAGGCAGACCTATCAAAATCTTAATCTGGGATCATATAACTAGAACTCTCAGGAATCTTAGAGACCATCTCTGAGTGCAATCCCTTCATTTTGCCAATGGGGAAACTAAAGCCCAGAGGGGTTAGCTGCCTTGCCCAAGTTTACACATGTAGGAAGTAGCAAAGTCACATTTTAACCCCTGGTCCTCTACCTCCAGAGTCAGTGCTCTTTCCATTTTATGACACTGCTTCAAATTTTAATTTTGTTGTCATTGTTCTGTCATTGTAGTCATGTCTGACTCTTCATCACCCCATTTGGGGTTTTCTTGGAAGAGATACTGGAGTGGTTTGCCATTTCCTTCTTCAGTTCATTTTACAGATGAGGAAACTGAAGTAAACAAGGTTAAGTGACTTGCCCAGGGTCACACAGCTAGTAAGTATCTGAGGCTGGATTTGAACTCATGAAGAAGAATCTTCCTACCTCCAAGATTTAAATTTTTAATTTTATTGCAACATGAAAGTTTACTTAGGATACAAAAAAATCAGGCAGGAAGAATCCCTAAGAAGGCCCTCTTATCAGTTTCTTAGAGCTCAACAAAGTCAAGAGAGGTTTGAGATTTTTCCTGGAATTACTTTTTTTGTCTTTTGTTGGTAAATCAGTATTATTGAAGCAAGACATCCTTCAAAAAATCCTATTGTTTCTTTTTGTGAAGAAGTTCTTTTTCTTATTGCAAATGCAGATTCACTTTTCTTGGCTAAGGTAGCATAATATTCTTAGTGTTATAAATTTAGAGCTGGTGGGGACCTTAAAGGTCATCTAGTGCAGCCTCTTCTTCTTATAGCTGAGGAAACTGAGGATCAGATAGGTTGACTGGTTTGCTCAAATAAACACAGTATAAAATTCAAGAGCTGAACTCAGGACTTCTGACATCAAAACCAATGTGCTTTCAA